TTGTTTGAGGTATTATATTTATGTAACTCATTTAAAATTGTAATGGATAATTAAAAATTAAATTAATAATTAGTCATCTATGATAATCATATTTATAGCCATGTTAGTTAAGTCTTCTAGGTATACATAGATATATTTCAGATAGATAGGTAGTCTTCAAACACTTCAAAGACCTACAGAATATGGCATTTAAAATGTTTTAAAATTTTAGATGTTCTGGACAGTGAGACATATCTGCTCCTGGCAACACTGGATTTACTTCAGAGGAGGATGGGCATCGAAGACACTCCATATGGAGTTTATATTCACCTTGGCAAAGATAGCCATTCGGGCAAGAAACTGTTCTTGCCTGGACTGCTTGATTGACTGGACATGCAAGACCCATAGAAGGATGACCACTGAACTTTGCTTGACAAGATGGTCCTTCAAGTTCCTGCTTCACAGAGAAAACTGCCAAACATTCTACATGACACTAAAAAAAATGACGGAAAAACTCTAGCCCTGTGAGCTAAAGACAAATGCCCCAACTTTACAAAGGAACATTAGGTAACTGTCCAGGCTGTCAGCTGTCTCTGTCTACCCTGCAAGACTCCCGAAAGTTGTTTACATCCTTCTCCCATTTCTCAGGTAATATTATATCCTTCTGAGGTCTTTGATGTAGTTAAAGACTAGATAGTTGTAATTTCCTCAGTTATGATAAAAGATAAGTTAGATATAAAACCTTAAATTCACAAATATAAGGTAGATAGGACACCTTCTTTAATATTGTAACTGTAATTCTTGCTTGATAATTGTTTTGTTATATGTAATTTTACTATATTACAGTTAAAACCTTCCTTTTTAAAAAAAGAAGAAAAGGAGAAGTGCTGTGGATATCACTCTATATAAACAAAACACTGATTGACCAGTGACCAGGCAGGAAGTATAGGCAGGACAAGGAGAAAGGAAAATTGGGGGAACAGGAAGAAGGAAGAGGAGACACTGCCAGCTACTGCCAGGACAAGCAACATGTGGCAAGGTATAGATTTATAAAAATGGGTTAATTTAAGATATAAGAACAGTTAGCAAGAAGCCAGCCATGGCCATACAGTTTATAAGTAATATAAGCGTCTGAGTGATTATTTTATATGTGGGTTGTGGGACTGCGGGGCTTGGTGGGACCTGGAGAGAAGCTCTCCAGCAACAGTCACTGGTGGCTGCTCCTCTGCTTCTCTGAACTTTCAGGTTATTACCCCAATATCTGATTCCTGGTTTTTATTGATAAGATTAACTAGGTTCATGCTTCACTATAGGGATCCCTAAGGCCCTTGTTTATTGTTACACTGTCCTAGTTCCTGCTCTACTGCTATGAAAAGACACCATGATTAAGGCAACTCCTATAAAAGAAAGCGTTTAGTTGGGGGCTTGCTTACAGTTTCAGGTTAGTCCATGGTCATCATGGCAGGAAGCAGACAGGCATGGTGCAGGAACATCAGCTTTACATCCTAATCTTCAGGCAGCAGGCAGGGAGAGAGGCAATGGACTGGCTTGGGCTTTCGAAACTTCAAGGCTCACAGTGACACACCTTATCCAACAAGGCCACACCTCCTAATCCTTACCAATAACTGGTAACCAAACATTCAAATACATGAGGCTATGGAGGCCATTAACATTCAAACTACCATATGCACTATTCACGACAACTGAGCTACAGAATCAACCTATACATCTATCACTGGATGGATAAATAAATAAAATATATACATATACCCATGTTTTTTCTCATAGGCAGATGACTTAAAAAAATTTTTTTAACATGATGGGGCTCTTTCAGAGGACCCAAGTTCAGTTCCTAGCATCCACAAAACGTGGCTTACAACTGCCTATAACTCCAGGTTCAGGAGATTAGTTGCCTCTGGCTTCCATGGACATCTGCACTCACATGCACATACCCACACAGAGATACACACATACACATATTTAAAACAACAAAAATAAATCTTTAGAAAGCACATGGAAGTAGACTATTTGGGGAGGGAGTGATCACCAGAAGGACAAGAAACAGTGATGAGGGGAGGGGATATGGTTAAGGTACTTCGTATACATGCATGAAAATATCACAATAAAAAGCATTATTTTGTGCAAACAATATATGCCAATAAAAAATACAATGATTCTATCCCCCTTGTTATGGGGTTCCAGTCTCTCCTGGCTTAGAGACTACGAGGAGCCATGATAATGACTCATAGGACATGCTTGCTGTCCTTGGGGAACACCCCTACATCCCCTCATGGTTTCTAGCCCACTGAATAAAGCCAAAGGTCAAGTCTTACCACGACTAAGAAAATAATTTGCAGAAGAAAATAACTATAGACGTGGCTTATAAATATCTGTAAGACGTGAAAAAAACAAGTGAAGTCAGTGATGAGCACACTAGGCCAGGAAAGCATAATGTAAGGGAGAGGTTGTAGAACTAGGAACACGAACCTGTAACTGAGGACTTAATTCCCTAAAATGTAATGTCATTTCCATCCTACTAAGATAGCTCCCTGAAGTTTGAGATAAAAACACTAGCCTGGGAGCTGGGCAGTTATGGCATGCACCTTTAATTCCAGCACTCAAGAGGCAGAGCCAGGCAGATCTCTGAGTTCGAGGCCAGCCTGGTCTATAGAGCGAGATCCAGGACAGGCACTATACAGAGAAACCCTGTCTCGGGGAAAAAAAATAAAGAAAGAAAGGAAGGAAGGAAAGGAAGGAAGGAAGGAAGGAAGGAAGGAAGGAAGGAAGGAAGGAAGGAAGGAAGGAAGGAAGAAAAAGAAACAGTAGCCTGCAAGCAGTACTGCTGAAAGGAAGAGATGCTTTGACAGGACCAAGGAAGAGGTCAAGAGGCTCTGAGAAGCAGACACAGTAAAGCAGTCTGTAAGAAGAACTGAAGCCCAACACATGACTAAACTCCTTGGGTGACTTGAAAGGGGACAGCTCTTTCACCAGGACAATAAGAACTATGTCATGACTTAGAAGCCACAAAGGCAGGGGTGAGGGCACTGGCCTCACCAAGAAGCTCAGCTGTGTCTGGAATAAGCCAGACACAAGTAAGGAAACGCTGCAGAAGTGAAGAGTCTCCAGGCTTCTGGGATGATGCCAGTCTGAAATAACAGAGGCCAGGAAGCAACACTTCACCATCAGCAGCAAGATGGGCCTAGTCACAGAAGCGGACAATGCAACTGTGGGAAAGTGTCTCCCACAAGAGCATGTGTTAGAGGCTTCATGCCCCTGGCCCATGACACTATTGGGAGGTAATAGTCTCATCAAGAGATGAGACATAGTAAGAGGGAGAGGTCTCAGGTCAGTAAGAGTATGGCCTTGAATGGATGGGAGTGTGCCTGGCTTTTCCTTTCTCTGTTTAAGTTTTTACCATGAAAGGTTTCTTCCACTATGTACAGTCACCATAGGCCCGAAGGGAATAGGCCAATTAACTCCCAAAATGATGAGCAAAATAAACCTCTCAAGCCTCCTTGCAACTAGGATATTACTCTACACCACAAGGTAGCCTCGAATTCTCACCCCTCCTTCCTCGTCCTCTTGAGAACTTGGATTACTCATGTGTACTACCACATCCACCAAACTTTCCTCTTTTTAAAAAGTTCTTACCTTATCTGATTGTGAGAGTGATGGAAAACTGACTATCACAAGCATAAAGGACGAACAGCAGCCAGCACCACGGACTGAAGAGATCTCTAGTGACGAGTAATCTCTATATATAGGCATAAAGGTAGCTATTGAGAAGGCACTGACTTCCAGCAGGTTTACTTTACATACCACACATGAAATGCCCCCTTTGGAGTGGGTGTCAATCCAATCAGAAAGCAGCTGGCCACCTCGTCACAGCCACTGATGCACACATGGGCACAGAAAGTCAGTAATGTAACACTCAGGGTCTACAACTGAGTGTGGCTGTTGGTGACTTTTCTCCCCTAGACACATGTAAAGCACTTCCCACACTGTGAAAGCTAGCCAGCAAGGAGGAAACATCCAGCCCAATTCCAGCATGATTTCTCTGTGTCCTGCCACCGGTGTGTAGTGTCTTCAGTGATTAGAGACTTTTAAACACCATTCCCAGTCTTGCTGCAGAGGCCAAATCTGGCCTCTCACTGAAGATGGTTCATCTGACCCCACTCCTTCAACAGTCAGTAATTAGCTTGTATAACGACTCAAGGCCAGGCTCTTGTTAGGTGGGCATCGTGTGTATGATTTGAACAAAGCAGACACGGTCCTTACCTTCATAAAGATTTCAGTCTCATGAGAAAAACTGATAACAAATGCATGCACACACAGGTAGTTAATCACAAAATGCAAAAAATATTAGAAAAGCCAGAATTTAAAAGTGGACTTATTTTGGACTGAAAGACAGATTTTAAATATTGAAGTAAATTTTCAATACCAATTAAGCTTGTAGGCATGGAAGAGACTTGGACACTAGGCCTACATACAGTGGATAGCTATTCTGTCTAAGGCCTTGAAACACTGCCCCTAGAGATGTAGCAGGTAACTGTCCTACCTACCTATGACCTTAAAGTATCCACCCCAGGGGCGTGGCTTGGGGCTACCCTTAAGACCTGAGACACAGGTAGGCTATCTTCTCTCTCACTCGTGGGCTGGATGGTGCAGACCATCTCAGAGGCAGAACAACGTTGGACGGTACTTCAGCTTTCCAGGACCCTACAATAAATCTCCCATGCTGTAGTGAGTTTTCCTCCCTGATAAATTCCTTCACCCTTTAAGCAGACTCCGTGGATTTCTCGAATTACTTACATCCATAGACAGCCTTCTTATATGTTTTTGTAGCTGTGCTTTGTTTTTTAACATTCACAGGATACAAAAAGTGTACTAGCTATAACTGCTCATTTTATATTTCATTAATATTAAATAAGATGTATGTGATATTCAGTGCTTGTGCATCTCGTTCTGTGTCTTCCACACTCTGACCTTTTTCCCCTGGAAGAACAGCCCATGATGCTGACCTTGCTTCCAGGCAGCTCAGATGTGTCTGTCCAGTTTCTTGCTGTGGCCTGCAATAAACACACAGTTTGTGTTGTTTGTCAGTGTTGCAGAATTCTCGTGGTTCCATCTAAATTCTGCACACAACATTCTGCCAAGAGAACTCACTGGATGCAGTAGGGGTACCACTGAGCATGTCAAGTGTGAGCGTGAGAGCGGAAGGACTGTGAAGGAAAGGCACAGGAGGCTTGTGGCCCAGAGAGCCTGAACCCAGTTAGACAAATTAGGAGAGGTAAGGAATAAGCTGAAACCTGGGTGATTAGGAAAACTGTATTTCATACTTCAATATTAAAGTAACTATATACTCATCTGAAGATGAGAAATTTAACCTTTATTCCAGAGTTCTAACCAAGACCAGTAGACTAACATCAGCAGGCAATTATTAACTTAAATAATAAAAGTGAACTGAACAAGGTCCCAGAGTCCAGAAATCTATTCACCAGTAATAAAAGAGAGGAAAATTACAGAGTCCAAATTTTATCAAATGCCTAAAGCTGCCAAAGCAGTAGCTTGATGATAGATATGAACTTTGTAGTCAAACAGACTTCAAACCGTTGCTCCACTAAACAAACATTGCTTTATTTTACATATGAAATGCCTCATACTACGACAGATAGGTAGGTCTCACTAAACAAAAGTAAGCAACACTTTTATCTATATGAATTAGCTAAACAGCAAACAATTTATAATATGAACCAATCCCATTATAAAAGTGACCCATGAGAGAGACATGGCTTCTCTTTTCCCTTGAGACTGAGACAGCAGAAACAAAGGTCCCTGGATAGGAACTCAATAGAGTCCTTGCCAGAAAGGGTACTTCAAAGTCTATTTTCTGGGAATCAGAGGCCTGCCACTGAATTCTCAACATTCTGGATGGTACAAGGGAGAAAATCATTTAACCTGAACAAAATGACTTACAGAATTGTGGAAGTCACATAGTGGCTTCACGTTACTTACCTAGTAAACTGACCTCTCTTTACTTCCATGTAGTTTTATATCATACATTCTCTAAGAATTAATGATTACTCAGGTTACAAGCACATGTATACTATGTATTATGACAAGTGACAAAATCAGTCTATGGAAGAAAACCAAAAAAAATTAAAAAAAAAGATTAGTCTTCAGTTTGGGAGAAACATTACCCAGAAGAACCAACATAGAAGACACAGTCCTAGAACCTTTGGACCAGGATCATAGAGCTACCACTCCACAAATTGTACTGTTCTAGATAGATACTAGGTAAATAGCTGATACATAGATAGATAGATAGATAGATAGATAGATAGATAGATAGATACATACATACATACATACATACATACATACATACATACATACATGATAGGTAGATAGATAGATAGATAGATAGATAGATAGATAGATAGATAGATAGATAGATAGATTAGATAGAACTTAATATTAGACTCTGAACCTTACCCTGAAATTCTACTGCTATTTTGGCTGGAGCTTTGGGGAAGTCACCAGAACTGCAAGCCAGGTGACATGGACTTAGAGGATTGATCTTTAAGGAACAGGTAGATCCAGTGAGTGACACTTCTAAGCTTGGTTTCTCAAGGGTACTGGCAGATTGCTACAGAGGATGACTGGGACAAGCACAGGGGAGATACGGATGTGTGGCTTCAGAAAATAAGGCAAGAACTAAAGGGTATCCATGGAGACATTCTCTGAAGAGCTTACCTCTGCTCTTCAAAATGTTTTCCATTTCTTCTCATTTTCTTAGCCCCTCTGCAAATCTATTAAGAAAATGAAATAATATTGGCAAGTAACAGAATCTTGACACACCACAGAATTCATGTGTTGATAGTGCTTAAACTCAGGAAAGGCTTTGATTTTCCCCGGGTCCCTGCCCTTTGCAGAATTGCTCCTTGGCCTTTTCCCCCACCACAGCTCATCAGGCCTGGTCTACAGTTGCCCTGTGCTCTTCTCTGAGTCCTGCTAGTGTTGCTATGCCCCGGCCCCAAGCCAGAGGCCAAACATTCATCTGTTATGAACAATGATGTCATTCTTTTAATGCATGTGTGAGTGTGTATGTGCCCCGGTGGGGAAGTGGTGTGAACACACACGTGTGAGTGTGTATGTGCCTGGTGGGGGAAATGGTGTATGCACACATGGGTGAGTGTGTATGTGCCCAGTGGGGATGTGGTGTGGGCACTCATGTGTGAGTGTGTGTGTGCCCGGTGGGGACGTGGTGTGGGCACACACATGTGTGCAGCTGGAGGACAGAGGATAATGTCAAGTGTCATCTTCTGGAACACTGTTCACCTCCTTGACCTTGAGGTAGGGTCTCCCATTGGTCTAGACTCCCCAGGGAGACCAGGCTAGCTGGCCAGTGAGCCACAGGGAGCCTTCTGTCTCTGCCACTCCAGTGCTGAGATCACAAGCAAATGCCACCATGGCCAGCATGGGCCTAGAACATGGCTTCGAGGAATCAAGTCCTGGTCCTCACACTTGCAGACCCTTCAACACATCCATGGCTTTGTTCTGGGAACTTCAGTTTACACTTACTTCCAAAGAAGCTGTTGAAAACCTGGCAGAGTTGTGCACATCTTTAATCCCAGCACTCAGGAGGAAGAGATAGACAGATGGATCTCTGTGAGTTCAAAGATAGTCTGGTTTACATAGTGAATTCCAGGACAGCCAGAGCCACATAGTAAGATCCTGTCTCAAAAAAAAAAAAAGAAAGAAAGAAAAAGAGAGGGAGAGAGAAAGAAAGAAAGAAAGAAAGAAAGAAAGAAAGAAAGAAAGAAAGAAAGAAAGAAAGAAGGAAGGAAGGAAGGAAGGAAGGAAGGAAGGAAGGAAGGAAGGAAGGAAGAAATCAAAGACGGTGATGGAAACGCAGCACCACAAGCACATGGGAGGATGTATTGATGCCTATCTGTGTTCATGTTTATTGTGATCCCTAGGCAGACTGCTATACCCACAGGTCATGCCTAGCTCACCAGACATCATAGAAGCTTCTTCTTGTAGTAGATGGGGTTGTACAAGCAGGTACAAATAACAGAACATGAACATGAAATCAGTTGGGGCTCGTGTGGCTACCTCGGTGTGCCTAAAGAGTGGGCCAGGATGGGGTGGGGAAGACAGAGCCTATGTGTCTGATGGCTACCTCAGAGTATAGTAGGAGGGACAGCTGTGGGAGAGCTCTACTTAGGACAGCACAGAGGCAAGAGGGTCAGAGGAGGGCAGAAAGCACCAGGGAGCAGAACACAAGTCAGGACCCTCAAGGGTAAGGGCTAACATAGTTCAGTGTGTGGATGAGTGTTCGTGAACACCTGAGTGGGTTTGGAGGTTCATTTGGAAAGATTTAGAGAACTCTGAATACTTTTAGACTAGTATCTGACTTTTTAAAAACTAGAAAAGGAGAGAGAAAAGGTTTTTTTAAAGGAAACTACTAGGAATATGAATCTAGTGTTTCGAAACAGGGACTGCAGACAGAGCTGTGCCAACAGGAGACTCCATATCAAGATTACTACCACAGTGTAAACAAGAAATAATGAGAAGCCTATCTGCAGATTAGAAAGAGTGGGAAGACGGAAATGAAAGGGGGTGCACAGAGCTGGTCAGTGCTGTAGAGAGGACAGCCAAGGGAGCTTGGGAACCATGAGAAAAAGAAGAGAGACTCTCATGTCAAAGCCGCAGTAAGAGAGGGCTATTTTCAAGTTTGAAAAAAGGAGACAGGTTGTTTTGTGAACATAAACACTGGAAATAGAGATGTCTACAAGCAATTAGCAGGTCCAGCCTAGAGCACCAGGGAAGTTGGGAAGGAAGGAGAGGAAGATGAGAGGGAAGAGGATGGAGGATTGGACAGAGAGAAGGGAGAGTGGGATGGAGGAAGGAAGATGGGAAAGAAGGAGGAGAGGGAGAAAGAAAGGAAGGGAGGGAGGGAGGGAGGGAGGGAGGGAGGGAGGAAGGGAGGAAAGAAGGAAGGAAGGAAGGAAGGAAGGAAGGAAGGAAGGAAGGAAGGAAGGAAGGAAGGACTACAGTATACTGAACACAGAGATGATAAGGGCTAGAAAAGCTCACTGCTACAGAGAAATTTTATAAAAGAATAGGTGTTTGGAAGGTTTAGTTTGATTTACAAGGAGACTTCTAATAACCTTTTTAAAAAATGTTTAAGTATCCAACCTTGGTCTCAACAATTCTCCCTCATATAAACCCTCCTCATTCTCGTTGATTGGACTCCCAGAGATCCACCCAGGGCCTAGTCATGGATCTCTGCATCCAGATCCCTCAGTAGTTGGATGAGGTTTCTAGCACAACAATTAGGGTGTTTGGCCATCCCATCACCAGAGTAGGTCAGTTCGGGCTGTCTCTCGACCATTGCCGGCAGAAATGAATGGAAACACATGAACTATGAACCAATGGCTGAGGGGTCCCCACTGGATCAGGCCCTCCGAATGGGTGAAACAGTTGATTGGCTTGATCTGTTTGGGAGGCATCCAGGCAGTGGGACCAGATCTTGTGCTCATTGCATGAGTTGGCTGTTTGAAACCTGGGGCCTATGCAGGATTGTTTGACTTGGCCTGGGAGGAGGGTACTAGACCTACCTGGACTGAGTCTACCAGGTTGACCCCAGTCTGTGGGGAAGGCTTTGCCCTGGAGGAGATGGGAATGGGGGGGGGGGGGGGGCGTTGGGGGGAAGGTGAGGGGGACGGGAGGGGGGAGAACAAGGGAATCCGTGACTGATATGTAGAACTGAATTGTACTGCAAAATAAATTAAAATAAATTAAAAAAAAATAGGAATCTAAAAAAAAAAAAAAAAAAAAAAAAATGTTTAAGTAGAAGGATAAAGATGGAACCCAGTGAATTACAAAATGAAGGATGGGGGTCCTGAAAAGTGGAATAGGCCAGGCATGCTATAAAATCAAACAAACCAGCACTCAGAAGGCAGAGGCAGGCAGATCTCTGAGTTTGAAACCAGCCTGGTCTACATACTGAGTTCCAGGACAGCAGGGCTATGTAGAGTAAACTTGTCTCAAAAGAACAAGGCCGGGCGGTGGTGGCGCACGCCTTTAATCCCAGCACTCGGGAGGCAGAGCCAGGCGGATCTCTGTGAGTTCGAGGCCAGCCTGGGCTACCAAGTGAGTTCCAGGACAGGCGCAAAGCTACACAGAGAAACCCTGTCTCGAAAAAACCAAAAAAAAAAAAAAAAAAAAAAAAAAGAACAGCAACAAAAAATAAACATGTGGCAGAGAAAACATGCTGTGTACTTTAAAAAGTTGAACAAAATACCTTTATTCAACATTAAGCTACTGAAGTCAAGAAGAGTGAGTGAATACTACGGGAACATGAAAAAGATTGACATAGCTAAAGAGAAGCACACCAACAAGGAATGCTGGCAAAAACATATCAAACTTTTAATACACAGAATACAGAGCTTTCATATGATCAAAATATGAAATATGTAAAGCAGGGTCAGCAAGATGGTTCAGCAGGTAAAGACGATTGCCTCCAAGCCGACCACTTGAGTTCAATTCCCAGAGCTCATTACAGTTAAGGGAGAGAATTTAGCCCTTCACTTCTCCTAATCTACACACACACACACACACACACACACACACACACATACACACACACTAAATGTAATAAACAATTTTAAATGTGTAAGGAAAAAGTACTATAAGAAATAAAAACTGTGTAACAATGATCTTTATGAATCTCTTATTAACCAACTGATAAGCACTGTGACCTGACTCCAAAACACCAAACTGCTTATCCTCAATGATGGTCAGGGAAACAAAGATCATAAAGAATTATGTATCCTTATGTACCATCATAGGATCAAATTTAAGTCTGGTGACTAAGCATGAGTTTCCCCATCCTGTCACTCATAGGTCCAGTTAGTTTGTAAACATGAGTCACTTTGACCATCAAGTTGCACATCTGGCCATTCCCACAGCAGCCAAAAGAGCTGTCAATCAGGACGCAGTCAGATTACAGCCAGACTACAGAGGGAAAACTAGTCCGCTGTAGGGCAGAACTTCAGAGAAGATGCAGCAGGAAGAACTTGGGAGATGTGAACTCCTCCACTCATCGTCTGAGTGATGGATACATGATTTTATACATAGGTCTAAGGTTGTAAATTTAGAGATAAAATATAATTTTTTTAAATTGAGTTGGTAGTCAGTTGGAGACATTCCTTTTTCTCAAACAGCCATCATGTGTGACTCTGGCCCACGGCATCAGTGGTCAGGGTCCAGGTCAGGTAGGCACTAGGCACTGGTCCTCAGGGGCTGCAGCACTGCTGTCTGTGGAGGACACTGTGAGACCCAGAGTCACTGGGACTGCTTGTCAGGCCCACACATCCAGAGGGACAATGAGAGTTGTTCCCGACAGTGACCACAGGACTCCCTGACTGCAGCAGTTAAAAGCCACTCGGGCAGCTTTTGAGCCAGTGGCTCTTTAGCACCTGAAACAAAAGTGTTTCCGTGTTCCAACAGTCAGTGTTGCCTTGTTAGTATGTGCTGGCTGTACCAGCCCTGAATATCCCCTCAGCAAACTCGAGCATGTGCAGCAGGGCTCACGAAGAGAAATTTTATGCAGCCACTGACTCACCATGAGCAAAAAGAAAAAAACAGCATAAAAAGGGGGGATGCATAAATTATGGTGAGTTGAAACAGTGTAATGTTCAACAATAAGAAAAATAAACTACAATCAAAGGCACTGTGGATGACTGGAAAGATAGCTCAGCAATTAAGAGTACTGGCCACTCTTCCAGAGGAGCTGGGTTCAATTCCTAGAACCTAAATGGCAGCTCACAACTGTCAATGACTTCAATCCTAAGAGCTCTGACAGTCCCTCTGGCTTGCATGGACACCAAGCCCCCAGGTGCTACACAGACACAAATACAGTCAAAACACCCAGACACACACAATATATAAACAAAGGCACTGGGACCGATCAACAGACGACAGACACAAATGCAGTCAAAACACCCAGACACACACAATAGATAAACAAAGGCACTGGGAATGATCAACAGACGACAGACACAAATGCAATCAAAACACCCAGACACACACAATAGATAAACAAAGGCACTGGGACCGATCAACAGACGGAATTAAGGGGAGACACGTGGAAGGGTATACACTAAGAGTCTATTCACACAAACTTAGTAATAAACAAAACTAAACTATTAGATAAGTAGGCAAAATATGTAGTAAAATCACAAACTGCAAGGAAATTATTATCAGGGTGTAGAAGAGAAGAACTGGTGAGAGGGAAGTTGAGAGCAATTGAAATACCTTTAATTAGTCGTTATTTGTAACTCATCCTTACACAACTAGTGCACTATCCTCTACTTAATATACTGTAATAAAAGATAAGAAAAGAGCTAATTAAAAAAAATGTCTTGGTGCCAGCTGGGAACGATGAGTTTGTAGGTGAACTATGACAGCACAAATGTCACAGCAGGCGTCAGGCAGGGCTGTGATTGGACAACCAGCCAGCAAGAATGCTATTTGTTCAGAGTCCTCAGTACAGGACACAGAGCATTCTGGGGAGAGGTGAAAGGCCAGTCAGAAAGACACTTCCAAAACAAGCTGCCTAAGGAAGATGGGCACCAAGGGAAAAGTAAGTACATAACCTATGTCTGCATTTGGTTTCTGCTTCTGTTGTGTCTCTGCACTTTTGCTGAAGATGCTTCCTTCTGGGTTACACTTAAGGCCCAGCGATTTAAAGTCCACTAAAGGGTAGGAACAGTCCATAAGCTAGAAATCTGTTCTAAGGAAAAACAACTCTGGATTTGCTGAAGTGTCTTCTAGGGTACTCACATATTATTTACATGGTGGCAGGGGGAAAATTAAGTTGTCTATGTTCTAACCATCAATGCAGAGTATGTATTTAAAACACGGGAACGGATGGGACAAAGTAGATTGCAAAATGCTATATGTATGACCCCATGTGAGGACACTCAAAGGTTTTTCAACATTAAGGAGGAAGAAAATGATAAAAGTAGAGATGGATTATTTTTTCTTATTTGTATTTTGAAATTTTTTAATGAATGTACTTTGTATTTGTAATATAAGAAATAACAATTTAAACCATAATTAAATATTGCAAAGAACAATTGAGAAGCAAGTTTTCAAATGGTCAAAAAAAATTTTATCAACAGTACAGGTTGTAGTAAGGACAAAGGATTATAGACTTTCTTTCAATTTTACTTATATATGAAATTAAAATGTAATTTGAGACTGAAAAAATAATGTAGGAATTAACTATAAAGCTTTAGGCATTTGGTTTCTTTTCATGCACTTTAACTCAATTCTAGAACGAGAACAATTTCTATTGAACTTACATTCTCCTGATAAACTGACTGTGTAAGCCTCACTTCCCAGATAGCTTACCATCTGGAGACCTCAGTTAAACTCAAGTTAGTGGGTTTAGGATGGGACATTCTTCTCTAACAGTTCCAGAGTAACAGGTATACCTGTCGGTCCAATGACCACACTCCAGTAGTAAATCATACCTATGCTAACGACCTGGGCTCAGGTACTTTAGAGTACAAATGCCCACTGGCCATCTACCAAAACTGTAAGCCTTATAATAATTATATCTTCTTTGCTATAGAGATAAATATGTAGGCATGGTATTAGAATAAGTTTTCATATATTTGTTTCTTCAAAATATAAACATTACAATGGCTATAACATAGAAATTAACTTCTGTTAAGATCTTCTGAAAATATTGTAAGTATATGTGCATCTAGTCACAAACTCCTTTCTCATACAGTTATGGCATTGGCCTCTTTGGACAAAATCATCTTATTCTGTCTTTCCCTCCCTCCCCTCACCACTATTCTCTCTCTCACCTCTCTCCTTCCTCTCTCTTTCAGGTTATTACATGCAAGGCAGCCATTGCCTGGGAAACAGGCAGTCCCCTTTGCATTGAAGAAGTTGAAGTGTCTCCCCCCAGGGCTCATGAAGTTCGAATTCAGGTGAGTAGGGACTTTAGCTGAGCAATACAGACATGGCCCTATGGGCAGCTTTATTTTTAGATAAAATTGGTCATAGATGCCAATAGGAGGGATTAGGGCTGGGTCAGTATGGAGGAGTAGAGCAGAACCATTAACAGGAAGTCCAAAGTTATCCACTTTTCCTCTAGACCAAACTATCACAGGTTTGTGTGTGAGGATGCACGAAGAAGCCTCATGGACGAATCTGAAGAATCACATTGGGACAAGTTGAAGAGAGATTGGGACATTATTTCTCTTTACTACGGAAGATTTATTACTTCCACTTCACTTCCTGCAGTCTCCACAGAACAGAACAAGTCATGTAGACCTATGTTCTCCCCACTGCCTGGTATACATTCTCTCATCCCTTTTACCTTTGATTTTTCCTCTTCTAGAGACAGTATGACCAACGCTGCTTTTTTTCCCCAGCAACAATGAAAATTATAAAATTAAACTGGATTCCAGGAAGAAAGGAATAAAGTCTAGTAAATTATATATGACCCTTTTTTTTCAAACTATAATTCTTTTACTGAATACTCAGGATGCTAGAATGCTTCAAGATACCACTGGGCCTAAGAGCACAGCCACAAAACCACAACTCAAGTCTGTCTTGCTTTGTAGGTAATTGCCATGTGCGTGTGCCCAACTGACATCAACGCTACCAACCCTAAGAAGAAAGCTCTCTTCCCTGTAGTCCTTGGCCATGAGTGTGCAGGAATTGTAGAAAGCGTTGGGCCAGGAGTGACCAACTTCAAACCAGGTACTTAACCTTCTGATTTCAATGGACTAGAAATTCCCAGCCTTTCCTATGATGGCTCCTCATAACTGCCTTTGCTTTTTATGCTGTCTGGGCTTTGCTTACAGAGCTCATCTTTCCCAGAGAAACAGTGACACAAGCCGTCTGTCAGGGCATAACAAGGAAGCAGAATATCTGAAACCAGAACTGCCTCCTAAAATCCTGGAAATACCGCCATTTATTTACATAAACAGAGAAATTGTCATATAAAGCACAGGTATAGGGTTAGTGTAAATTGAAGCTTCCATGGCTTACAGATACTTCCTCCATGTGAAATGGAAATTTACTTTATGGTTATGTAGAGTGAAGGCTTGCAGGAGGCTTAAGGAAAAAGCATCACACACACGTAAATGTTAGTTGAAGTGTCATTTTGGAAGTTCCTAAGATAAAACACAATACCCTGAAGCAAGCCAGTGAGTCATATTTTATAACATATATATGTAACATATATACTATGTGCACAGAAACAGATTGTTCCCTCAAAACCTTCATTCTTGAAGGTGTGACCAGTGTCAACCTTTAGTCCTGACTCTGCCACTTACTAGCTGTGTGATTGGGGACAGTTATAATGTTTTTTGTGAATGGATTTGGATTTCTCTTTTCTAAAATGGCAGATGTGAGAAGTAAAATAATAACATTAGCAATGTTTTGACTGCCATACACTAACGTTGGTCATCAAAGAACCAAATAGGAACTGAATGGGGAGCTAGAAAATGTGGGATTTTAAAGTGAGTCAGAATGGTACAAAATGGGCAGTGATATAAAGTCTGTGCTCTACCTTTAGCCTAGCATGTCCCACCTCCTCTGTCCTACACGGATGCTCTCTATACACTCAATACAGAGTGTTTGAGAAGGCAGTAAACAGTCATACTCAAGAGACTTCAATGAACATATTCCCAGCCAGAACTCTGTACCTGCTAATACCAGTACAGGCTGTTACTTGGCTGCTGAGCAGATTAAGAAAGAAAAGAGTGCAGTACTTGAAAGAACCCACAGTCCTCTATTCTCCTGAAATACTATATTTTTGTTGAATATAAAATGTATAACTATAAAAAAGTGTGTTTTCCACTGATTTATCTGGGAGGAAGTTTTTTAGGGCTGGGAATCAAGCCTGAGACCTTACATAAATAGGCAAGTTCTCTACCACCAGTTCATATCATAGCCATGCTTCAGAAACTATGACTACATCTTAGGTACCATCTAACATGCAGCCTTTCTTTCTAGGTGACAAAGTAATTCCATTCTTTGCACCGCAGTGTAAAAAGTGCAAGTTCTGTCTGAGTCCTCTTACAAACCTCTGTGGGAAAATCCGGTAAGTGCCCCCTGACTGTTAATAAGAGTGTAAGTAGGTATGACTGTCTTGGACACACTGGCCAAACATAAATGGAGGTGAAAAGATGAGAACTTTCCCTTACTAATTCTACTTCTATGTGCCTATAAGACATTGTTCCAAACACACAGGAAGAGAAACACACTAAAATGTTCAATCACATGGTTTATAAGAGCAATAAAAAAAACCACAGGAGTGTCCTTCAGTGAAAGAATAGGTTTATCTACTGCTATATAGTAACATAAAGAAATACAATATAATGAAAATAGCTAGTCTTAAAATACACATACTAAGCCGGGCGGTGGTGGCGCACACCTTTAATCACAGCACTCGGGAGGCAGAGGCAGGCGGATCTCTGTGAGTTCGAGGCCAGCCTGGTCTACAGAGCGAGATCCAGGAAAGGCGCAAAGCTACACAGAGAAACCCTGTCTCGAAAAACCAAAAAAAAAAAAAATACACATACTAACCTAATTTTACACACATGTTAATAGAAAGAAGTAAGATGCTAAAGGATGTATTATATAGTGTGTCACAGAAAGACAGTACCAGGATTTATGGTTACATGTGTATGTAACAAACATGTAAACACATCACTGGAATGATAAATTCCAAGTTAAATTTGTATGTACTTCTAGGGGTGGGAGAATGAATAGGTAGAGGCACAGTAGTTTACTCCAGGGCCACACAGCTTCAGGTACTGAACTCAGGTTTTTCACACAGACACTGTGGCTCAACAGTTGTGAATCTTAATCACCTCAGACTGATTTTTTGTTTTGTTTTGTTTTTGTTATTTTTGTCTTTTCAAGACAGGGTTTCTCTGTGTAGTTTTGGTGCCTGTCCTGGATCTTGATCTATAGACCAGGCTGGCCTCAAACTCACAGAGATCCACCTAGCTCTGCCTCCTGATTAAAGACGTACACCACCACTACCCGGGCTCCTCAGACTTATTTTATTGAGACCATAGAAAGATGCATTTGTCCTGAATGCTGATTGAAGCTTGTTATTTAGGAAGTTAAAACCTGGGCTGGAGAGATGGCTCAGCAGTTAAAAGTGGTCACTAGTATTGCAGAGGACTTGGGTTCAGTTACCCACATCCACACAGTGACTCATAACCACCTATAACTCCAGTTCCAGGAGCTCCCTCTCCTGGTCTCTGTGGCACCTAAACACATGTGGCACACATATACTCACACACATACACACACATAATAGGCAAATCTTTTACAAAAATAAGTGAAAACCATATTACTCATATCCATGCCTCTGTTACGCTATCTACAAGAAGATACTAATGTCAGTTTGCAAGGCTGAATTAAAACTATACTTTTTGCAAATTATTAATGAAATGATGAATTTAGACAATGGCCATGAATTCTAACCGTATAAAAAGAGAAATAATAAGATGCAATGAGCCCTCCAGGTACATCACACCACCTCTGAAGTATTCCCCCCCAAAAAAATGTGAAATCTGAATCAGACATTTCAATAAAAACTTCTAATTTAAGAGGAAAGGCTGAAACAGAGAGTTGTGTTAAAACAGCTTTCAGTAGAACGACCAGCAACACTCGTAAGGAGAGAAACTCAGGACTGATGACTCCAGTTATCCACAAGGAAATTACAATATGGGAAATATAAATTTAAAACGACATCTTAATAAAATGCAATATGCTGACTTAAAGGAATCCTTTAGAAATATGTACTGAGATATCTCAATACAAATGAAATGATATGATGTGGGAGATGCGTATTGTGGAAGGTGGCAGGTGAAACTTGACTGGACAGTTAAGATGGAAGGTCACTGGAGTACATGGAGGATCATTGTACTAATCTATTTTTAGTTTTACTTGAACTTTCTATCAGAAAAAAAAAATGTGAGTTAACAATATAGCCCTTAAAAGAGCTCCTGACACACAAAAAGCACTCAACAGAAGTTTGTTGGTATTAACACTAAAACAGTTCAAAAATACTATGTATGATGTGAAACGTACCAAATTATTTTCCCAACTTTGCCGTTTGATTCCATAAAACATTCATGACAAATATATGATAACTGTGTCCTTTTCTTTTTCTAGGAACTTTAAATACCCCAATACTGAACAAGTGCTCATGGAAGACAGAACAAGCAGATTCACCTGCAAAGGAAAACCAATTTACCATTTCATGGGAGTCAGTTCATTCTCTCAGTACACTGTAGTTTCAGAAGCCAATCTTGCCAGAGTCGATGATGACGCAAACTTGGAGAGAGTTTGTCTGATTGGATGTGGGTTCTCATCAGGCTACGGGGCTGCCATCAACACTGCCAAGGTAAATGCTATGTTGTCTGTAAACAGAGGTTACCGGGAGACAATGTTATATAAAGAAGTTAGAATTGTCTTCACAATCTGGCTACATTGCTTATTGTCACTATAATTAGCTGGATCATTTATTGCCTCTGTGATTTTCTTTTTCCACGTACTGGGGATTGAATCCAAGGCTCTGCACCTGCTAGGAAGATGCTGTACCAATGAGCTACATCTCCAGTTCAGCCTCTGTGATTTTATGTGGGCTATTAGATGTCTCTAAATAATAGTTTCAGTAGTTGTGAGCATATTAAGTTGTATTGCATATATAAAACATTGGTTTATCAGGCTACATATACATGTGCCCTGATTTAAATAAAGTTCATTTAAACATGACCTCTAAATAAGAAACCCCACCTATCTCCATTTGGCCACCTAGCTTTCTCCCTGATTCTGTAGATTATTCTCCCTCAGTCAATAAGAATTTACCCATTTCTCATCCCCTTGTGGCTTCAAGAGAGTATGTTCTTGCAAGATGTGTTCCTGGGGTCCTATTAGGATTTGAACACTCTTGCAAGGCTGACTAGGTTACAAACAAAGAGAGAAGATAGTTTTAAAACAAAAAGATTTCTTAGGTGGATACTTCAGACATCCCTTAAGGACTCCAGCAAAGAAGTCCCATCTCTCCCTGCTGACCCCACTAGATATATTAGATATAAGTAAAGTCTATCACTATCTATGTAGTTGGGTTTTTCTTTGGGCCACCTGCTCACAAATAGTGTCATGGAGACTTATTAATTCCAAAAACTTGACCTTAGCTTAGGCTTGTCCTACTAGCTCTTATGACTTATATTAACCCATTTATTTTCATCTTCATTCTGTCATGTGGCTTATTACCTCATCTCTCCATACTGCCCATGCTGTTTCCTCTGCATCCAGCTGGTGAGTCTTTCTTCTTCCCAGAGTCCTCTCTGTCCCGGAAGTGCCATCTAATCTCTTCCTGCCTAGCTATTGGCCATTCAGCTCTTTATTAAGCCAATCAGAAGGTGCCTTGGCAAAGACACATCTTTACAGTGTAAACAAATATTCCTTAACATTTCTATCTATCTATCTATCTATCTATCTATCTATCTATCTATCTATCTATTTATCTATCATCATCATCATCTATCTGTAGCTCACTCATTCACTGCTCCCACCACCACCACCATCATCGTCATCATTATCATCATCATCATCTGTCTATCTGTAGCTCACTCATTCATTGCTCCCACCACCACTATGTCTACCAGGCTGCCCTCAAACCCACGGTCCTACTGACTCTGCCTTCCAAGTGCCAGAATTACAGGCATGAGCCACACCATGCTGGACTTCCACTTCGAATTTAGATTTTGATGGTTTGGGTTTTTTTTTTACTTTTCGTAAAATGTATTTATTTTATGTATTTGAGTATATTGCCTGCATGTATATGCACTATAGAATATATGTGCTTGTGGATCAGAAGAGGGCATCCAATCCCCTATAACTGGAGTTACAGATGGTTGTGAGCTCCCATGTGAGGGCTGGGAATCAAACCTGGATCCTCTGCAAGAACAGCAGGTGTTCTTAACCACTGAGCCCTCTCTTCAGTTCCTTGAATGATTTTAATTAACAGAAATTATATATGGAGTTCTGATGTTATGACATACAGACAGATATAATGTGATGTTCTGATAGACAGGCAGAGAGAGATAGATGGATGGATGGATGGATGGATGGGTGGGTGGGTGAGTGGATGGTTAAATTATAAAATAACATACCTATTTCCTCACAAAATTAACTTCTTATAATAAAAAACCTTTACCTGTATCTCCAGCAATATTTAAGTATAGATTAGCTGCTGATGATAGTCACCATTCTGTGTAAATTTCCTCGGATGTTTTTGGTATTAGTACTGAGTTGGCTGCATGGTTTGAAAATATATTCTCCCGTTTCATAGGTTTTCTCAATTCTGTTGTCTGTCTCCTTGGTTATGCAAATTATTAGACTGATATAATCCCATTCATCTATTTTTCTTTTGTTTCCCCTGCTTCAATTTCTTTTAGAGGCAGGGCTTCACTAGGAAGCCCACAATGGCCTTGTTTGATCTTGTGATCTTTGCCCCAGCTCCTGTGCTCTCTAGAGTAAGATCCAAGAAATCACTGTGTAGATCATGGCCATGAATACTTTGCCTTATGTTTCTTCTAGCAGATTTATAGCTTTATCTGTTGCACTTAAGTCTTTAACCCACTGTGAGCTGAATTTGTATATGGTATAAGAGTCAATTGGGCATGGTGGCACATGCCTTTGATCACATTGGGAGGCGAGGCATATGGATCTCTGTGGATTTGAGGCCACCCTGATCTACATAGTGAGTTCCAAGACAGCCAGAGCTATACAGAGAGATCCTTGTCTCAAAAAAAAAAAAAAAAAAAAGGAAGGAAGTCTAATTTTGTTTTGCATGTTATTATCGTTTTTTTCAGCAGAGTTTACTCAAAAGTCTGTCTTTCCCCGCTGCATAAAGTAAAAATGTGTAACATCTGTGCTCCTTACTAATTATGCTTCCAAATTAGTTGACATCAACATGTCCCATGGACAGATTTTATCTTCTCTTTGTGCTTATTCTGTAATTGAAACAGTTTCTAATACTCATCAGAAAATACTAATTAAGCTTTTCTCTGTGTCATATTTTCTGCCACTCTTCTAAGAATTTGTGCCAACTACATGACTTCTCTAACCATATTTTAAGTCAATGTAAGAAGCCCTTCATCAAGGACTCGGTATACATGAGTCCTCAATAATGCAGGAGATTAAACAAGCTTCTGCATTAAAACACTGGCTAGCCATGGTGGCTCATACCCGTATTCCCAGCATTCAAGAGACTGAGGCCAAAGGATCACCATGAGGCCAACACTGGCTAAATAATGACTTCCAGGTCAGCTAGGTCTACAATGTGATACCTGCTTCAAAACCAAACCAAGAAAGGGGAAGGGGGTTATAAAGTATTGTGTATGGTATAAGAAAAGCAAAACAGCACTGACTTCTGACGGAAGAATCAAGACCAGTTTCATGGAGAGACTGTTGTTTAAGCCAGGCCTAGAAGGATAGGATCTACTCTAAGGAAATGGGATGGAAAGTACGCTGGCTGGATTCAGGAAGAGGAAATTGAGACACAATGAGAGAAAAGTGCACCACATATGGCTGCTGTGGAAAATCATGGAAATGGAAATGAAAGTGAAAGGGATAGGAGTCATCAAAAATTTACCAAGTATGGTATCCCATGCCTGTACTACACAGTACTATATGGAGGCCTAAGCAAGATGATCTCAAGTTCAAGACCACTGCGGCCTACTAGTGAGAACGTGTCTCCAACAAGCAAATGAGCATCCTTCAGTTCCACGCAAAGATATTTGGATTTCATCCCACCTAAATAAAGTGACAGTCTGGAATAATCAAGTACAACCATTTATAGAAATATTTATAACATTTATAGAAATATTAATCGTCATTCAAAAACAACAGCACAGCAAAATAAGGTCCACTAGAACTATAGATGTCAATTTACCTCCCACCCAGTTTCAATGAGGGGAAAAAACAACTCCTTTAGAATGTGTGGGCTTTCTAATTGTTTTCTAACACCACTGAAGGGCAAAGTGAAATAAGGGAATTCTTTCCACTTCCGTTTTCTCCTTATGAACTGATAGCTTAATGGCCCTTAAAAACTTTTACAAACTTTGGTAGGAATGCATCTGTCTTTACATTGGCAGATTCTCACCATTGGATACATCCTAGCTTTATAACAGACATTTTTTAATTTATGTGTCTGAGTCATCTCTCCCTCTCCTATGAAAGAAGAAGCTAAGAGCAGCAGCTCTAAGTCATGCTGCACTTTTTCTGCCTGCAGGTCACCCCTGGCTCTACCTGTGCTGTCTTTGGCCTGGGCTGTGTAGGTCTTTCTGCAGTAATTGGATGTAAAATGGCAGGTGCTTCCAGAATCATCACTATTGACATCAACAGCGAGAAGTTTCCAAAAGCCAAGGCCCTGGGAGCCACTGACTGCCTTAATCCCAAGGACCTAGATAAACCTATCCAGGATGTCATCACTGAACTGACCAACGGAGGTGTGGATTTCTCCCTTGACTGTGCAGGAACAGCTCAGACCTTGGTATGTGCATTTCTCTCCCCATCCTCAGCAATTGCATCTTACTTCTAATATGTTCTTTAATCACCAAATAATAAGGGAAAGTGAGCCAAGTCTATTAACAGTAGATGTCCTTCCTCATATTAATATTTTCAAGGGTCAGAAAGAAAAGAATTGTCAACTATAAATTATCAACTACTCCCTCAGCCACTTTCCGTCCAAGCTCACTGCTCTGGCCTCTGTATTAGTCCGTTTTATGTTACTATAATAAACTACCTGTGATTCTGGTGCTTAAGAGAAAGTTTTGTTTTGCTTACATTTTGGAAACTGAAAACATCTAAACAGCACAGGGTCAACTCGGGTGAGACTCTCCCATCTGCATCACCCCACATGCAATGGATTGTGGTGGGAGCACGTGTGTCCATTAGGCCTCTTAAAGATCCCACCAGTTATCAACACTGCCACGCAGAAGACCAATGCGTGAATCCTTGCACAGTCACATCGAGTCCAAGTCACAGCATGTCCCAAACACCAGTGTGGCCTCTGAGTTCAGGTCCCCAACGTGAGCAGCCATGCCACTTATCTCCACGTGTTTGTTCTTTGGACATCTCTTCTTAGGAAGAAAATAGTATTTTCCAACTTTGTTTTCCATGATGATTCCAATTATTTCTAACAGGAAACTTAGGGGTTCCTTTATTTTTGCTTAGCCAGGGAAGTTCCCTGCCTCTATCAAGTCAAATAAAAAAGAGGATGAACCACCCACCACAGACAGGTCATCTCTGTAGTTTTCAATTGTCGTAGTGAGCAGCTTTATTTCTCAGGAAATAATCACCTAGATTGTACTTGCTCAAGATACTGATTTTATTTTTGTTTGTTTGGGGATGAAATGACCACAGAGTTTATCAGCTAAGTTATCTGTCTTTTTTCTTCTTGGTCCAGTAATGTGGGTGCGAAGCAGTTGTGATGTTTTTCCACGTGAGTGACACTGTCGTGCAGCCTGGTTACTAACCCTCCTCCTAGAGGTGGTTAAAGAAGTAAAAGCTGGAAGGAAACAGATCTTGTGCTGTTTCTTTCCCTGGGTCTTACCTGACTCGTGCACTCTCTGGAAGGGAATGGAGCCGGAAAGAAAGCCATTCCACAGCCACACACAAACCGCCTGACAGCAGCTAGCAGGTGGCAAAAGCTGGTAAACACTGGCTGCTACTGAGGACAGCACAGGGCTCTTCTCTGTGCTGTGTCCTGTGTTCTGGGCTTCCTGCCCTGCAGCTGCAGTGCTCATATCCATTCTGCACTTCCCAGGGCTCAGATTCTACAGTGGGAGGCGACCTACCAGCCACGTTGTTTTATTTGTCACAAGAGCTGGCACTAGACTTTGCCTTAGTTAGGGTTTCTATTGCTGTGATGAAACACCATTCCTCCATGGGGAGGGAAGGGTTTATCTGGCTTACACTTCCACACTGTAGTCCATCTTTGAATGAAGCCAGGACAGAAACTCACACAGGACAGGACCCTGGAGGCAGGAGCTGCTCAGCAATGTGAAGCCAACAAAGATTTTTGTAAAAGTATCACCCCAAAAGTTCAAAATCAAATTGGCCACAAAGTATGTGAACAAAGTTACACTTGTCTTCTATATGAGTCTCAAAAGATTTAAAATATTTATCTGTTTGCCTAATGGCTTCTACATGGAATGGTCTTCCACAATGAAACTTACATTTTCAATTCTTAGCATTTTTACATCAACCCCAGATTTACAATCTTCTCTGTCTCAGTCAATGATTATAGTTTATATCTAAATCTCTTGGGTTGCTCTTCCATGTGAAGACTCAGCAATCAACCAAATTCAAATCCACGGCCTCACCATCTCAACAAGAGCAGACATAACAGGCAGGATACATCCTAACTGTAGGCTAAAAAAGGTAGGGAAACAAAGTATAATTTTCTAGTATTTTTGCTCAGTTTTAAATAGCATCTCTCCATATTTATCCTTTTTTTTTTTTGGTTTTTCGAGACAGGGTTTCTCTGTGTAGCTTTGCGCCTTTCTTGGAACTCACTTGGTAGCCCAGGCTGGCCTCGAACTCACAGAGATCCGCCTGCCTCTGCCTCCCAAGTGCTGGGATTAAAGGCGTGCACCACCACCACCCGGCTTTTCTTTTTCTTTCTTTTTTTTTTTTTTGAAGATTTATTTATTTCTTATGTATACAGTGTTCTGTTTGCATGTATCCCTGCAGGCCAGAAGAGGGAGCCAGATCTCATTACAGATGGTTGTGAGCCACCATATGGGTGCTAGGAATTGAACTCAGGACCTCTGGAAGAACAGCCAGTGTTCTTAACCTGAGCCATCTCTCCAGCCCATTTATCCTACTTTTAAATCTAAGTATTCAATGTGTGCTTCTTCACCACTGAACAATGCTTGATGCTTCTCATTTATGACTCTGGCAATAAAACTTTGAACAAGAAAACATCTGGAGAGAGAAAAAAGCAGTTCACCTAGCAGGAGGTCAGGCCACACAGGCTCTACGGAATCATTTACTCTCTTCATACTTTTCAATATTTTGATCACAGGCCCAGTAAATGTTTGTGGTAGATTGCCAAACCATTACTGATTAAAGTTCATGCTCTACATAGTCTTCTTATTTCCACGTTCATGTTTCTCAGTATTCATGTTATACTTTGCGGTCAAACAATGGTATTTGTACAGGGTAAACTATGTCCCATTTCCTTTTAATATACTTTTGATACTATTAAGATTATTTTTTAAGGCAGATGTGGAGATGCACACCTTTAATCCCAGTGCTTGGGAGACAGAGGCAGGTGGATCTCTGAGTCTGAGGCCAGCCTGGTGTACAGAGCAAGTTCCAGGACAGTCAGGGCTGCACAGAGAAACCCTGTCTCAAAATACAAAAGAAAACAAAAAAGAATGATTTTTGTGAGTTTTACATGTAACAGAACACTAGAGCCTCAAGGTTCAATCACATAATGTGATGGCCTTCTTAACTTGAACCTATTATATAACTGGCAACATTGTACAAAGTTTCCCTGGAGCACTGTATATAGCCACACCAGAGTTCGTGTGTATTTTCTCTGCTTGCCCGGGTAATCTTCTGTTTGACATTTCAGAAAGCAGCGGTGGAGTGCACGATATTTGGCTGGGGATCATGTACTGTGGTTGGAGCAAAGGTTGAAGAAATGAATCTATCCACTGTGGACATTATAATGGGCCGTTCTATAAATGGAACATTCTTTGGTGGTCAGTGTTTTTCTTTATAGTTTTTCATTTTCCTTGCTAATATATGAAACTATTTAAGATAATTGAATTTTGAAAAGAATAATAATTTGTATAAACATTGAGTATACAAAAACTATTCCAATTTTTGAAAAGTAAATGAAGTTTGTGTGGAAATATGACTATGATTACAAATTTGAAATTGAGTTTAAGTAGCTGAGTTTAGTGGTGCTAGCCTGCAATCCCAGCACTCAAGAGCATGAAGCAGATGGATTGTAAGTTTGAGGTAAGCCTTCATATACTGAGTTCAAGGCCTACCCAAGCTGCATGACAAGAACCTATCTCAAAAGAAAAGAAAAAATTTCAAGAGGTATTGAAATAACCAATCAGCTGAAAGGAACAAAAGGGAAATTTTGTCTAATTAAGATAATTCTTAGCTAGAGTGGATAATAATCTTGAATTTTTCGTATGAAGAAAAACTTTATTAGTTATTTATTTACTTATTTTAGTTTTTTTTGAGACAGGGTTTCTCTTTGTAGCCCTCGCTGTACTGGAACTCACTCTGTAGACCAGGCTGGCCTTGTACCCAGAGATCTACCTGCCTCTGCTTCTGAGTTCTGGGATTAAAGGCATGTGCCACCACTGCCTGGTAAAGAAAAAAATTTAAATACAATAAATCCATAAAATTAAAGATGGAGCAAAGCTTAAGCTTAATGTATTTAAAGCAACCCAAATCTGACCCAGTAATTTCACCCCTTCAACAAACACACTTATCTAGATTTAAATAAATGAAAAAGGCATTGAACTAGAAGAGCACCAGCAGGAGGTGGGGCAGGTAACAAGAGCAAAAACTCGGGGAGAGTAGATATTTGCAAGGTATGTTACATACGTGTATGAATTCCATAAAGATGTCTTTAAAGGAGAAACGTTAAACTACTTCTGTACGTCAAATGACACGCCTTTCTTTATATGGCATTGTGGCCTAATTACAGGTTGGAAAAGTGTAGATTCTGTCCCAAACCTGGTTACTGACTACAAAAATAAGAAATTCAATCTGGACATACTGGTGACCCATACCTTACCTTTTGACAAAATCAATGAGGCAATTGACCTGATGAACCAAGGAAAAAGGTAAACTGCCAAGTCTATGACTGAGTGTCTTAGAAATCCTTTATGATTTTTTATTTATGTCATTTTGTTTTATGAGCACATGTGTGTATGTGTGTGTGTTCGTGTGTCTGTGTGTGTGTGCATATGCACTACGTGCATGTAGGTGCCTAAGGAAGCCAAGACAGGATGTCAGATCCCCCGGAACTAGAATTACAGGCGTTTGTGAGCCATCTGATGTGGGTACTGGGAACTGAAGCTGGCTCCTGTGCAAGAACATCAAACGCTCCTACACAGTGAGCCATCTTTCTAACCCCAACCTTTATGATTTTTATTTAATCTAACAACTAACTAGATGTCTCTTCTGACTCTCTACATCAAAATCACTAGATGTCTTAACAGATCAAATAGTAGCGGTTTGGAATTTCTGCAATACAGTGTTCTATGGTATGCAGTATACAGTAGTGGCATACACTGACAGATGTTTTCCCTCTCACAAGTGTTAACTCAAGCCAGTAGGTTCCTCTGGTCCAGTGTGCCTAAGTCTAGAATCATTTTCTGTGATTTGTCAAAGGGCTTTCATGGTCAGAGCCCTGTGCAACCACTGAGGTATGAGCAGAGTAGCAGGTATATACAGGACTTCAGCTCTCTCTGCCTTGCCTTATTCAGGGGCTCCTGTAAGATCCCTTTACCCAACAAGTTTAGCTGGACTGTGTCTCAGTATTGGTTCCTAGGTATTAACTTATAACAATGCTCCAAATGAGGGATTCCTAGAGGCTGGGGACTGGGTAAGACTGGGAAGAATCATTTTAGTTAATTTACAGCCTTCATTAATAGAAGCAAAGAGTGGACACCAAGAACAATGATATTTAAAAGAGAAATAGGGCAAAGAACTTAAAAGACATGGCAAAAAAAAAAAGAAGAGGGATAATTAAAGTGGAGGAGCCTAAATTAAAGTGGAAGTGATGGGAGCTGGAAGCAGAAGATAAACGCTGCAGAAAAAAAATAGGTCCATGGATTAAGGACTCAGGTTATTTCATGGAGAAGAGACAGGAGACAATATCCCAGTGACACGTACTTTCCCAGTTTTCAAACACATTAGTCACTCCATATCAAAAAGTTCAAGAAAGAGAGAAAAATGGTTATTTTTATAGCTATATTATGTAAATACAATAGATAAACCCTGCAATATCTTGTAAATCTCAATATGCCCACAGTATTTCTCAAGTTAGGAGTTGGGTTGGGAGGGCTGAAAAACTGGGCTTCATAGCTCCTCTACCACAACCCCTTTTCTCCTAAGTTCCCAGTCACAGAATATATCCACAAGACCTACTAAGTGGTAGTAGCCAAGTGAAAAACGTCACGCTGCATTGTTAGAAGATGGCCAAATCTCCCATATTCCACAAGGAATTTCTAAGCAACTAGTGGTTGAGCAGAAGCTTCGATATAGGTCTACCTGAGGTGAGTTTCATATTCCCTCACTGGCCCTGAGGGAACCACCTAACTATCTACAGATGGACAAGTGGCCATCGTCTATCTGTAGGTCCAGATAGACACATTCCACACAGGTACAGGAATCCCGTCTATCTGTAGGTACAGACAGACACATTCCACACAGGTACAGGAATCCCGTCTATCTGTAGGTACAGACAGACACATTCCACACAGGTACAGGAATCCCGTCTATCTGTAGGTACAGACAGACACATTCCACACAGGTACAGGAATCCCGTCTATCTGTAGGTACAGACAGACACATTCCACACAGGTACAGGAATCCCGTCTATCTGTAGGTACAGACAGACACATTCCACACAGGTACAGGAATCCCGTCTATCTGTAGGTACAGACAGACACATTCCACACAGGTACAGGAATCCCGTCTATCTGTAGGTACAGACAGACACATTCCACACAGGTACAGGAATCCCGTCTATCTGTAGGTACAGACAGACACATTCCACACAGGTACAGGAATCCCGTCTATCTGTAGGTACAGACAGACACATTCCACACAGGTACAGGAATCCCGTCTATCTGTAGGTACAGACAGACACATTCCACACAGGTACAGGAATCCCGTCTATCTGTAGGTACAGACAGACACATTCCACACAGGTACAGGAATCCCGTCTATCTGTAGGTACAGACAGACACATTCCACACAGGTACAGGAATCCCATGAGGGGTCCTCCTGCCTTCCTCACTACACAGACGAAAGGGAGTGATGAGAAAGCAAAGGGACACGACGACTCACTCCACAGTCCACCTAACTTCCATTTCCTGGGTAAAGAGCATGTGTAAGCATGGCACACTGCATATGCCAGCCTTCCTCAGCTCCTACTGTGGTGTCTGAGATAGGGTTTCTGTCCTTGTTTATACACATCAGGATGACTCAGGACTGCCATCAGTAGTTTTCAGAAAGCGGCATCTGAGTACATCAGCCTCTCTCCTTTAATGTCCTACTTTGCCATGAGTGGTGACTTCCCAACACTAAAGCCTCATTCCTCAGCTAGTACGCCTTAGTTCTTGACAGTACCACCAGCAACAAGGGCTAACTCTGTCATGTCAAAGTTCCCACTTTCCCCCAGTCTCTTAACACTGTCACAAACATTATTAACACCATGAATGGAGAAAGATGATAAAATAGAAGAAATGATTCTTAACAACGTGGGCATCTACTGAAAGAAGGAATGAGAATGAAACAAGAGAGGGGAATGAGGGTGAATATGGTCAAAGAATATTGTATACATGCATTAAAATGTCATAATGAACCCCGTTACTGCATATAAATAGTATATGTTAATAGTACATATTTCTCTAAAGAAATATAAGCTCAAACTCTAAAGTGAAAAGAAAAACAACCTTGTGGACTTTGGATAAATGTTCATATAAATTGTATTTATTGTTGTTTTATTATTATTATCAGCATCCGAATAATCCTGACCTTTTGAAGATGCAGAAGTAATTTGGAATATTATCTGATTGGATCTGAGTCTGTCTGGTTGACTTACTACTTCACAGATGAGCCAAAGAAAGCTATGAGTTTAAGCACAAGTTTACACTTCACACCTCAACTTAAATAAACTATAAATTGTATAGCAAGTGCACCTATAAAACATATTCAGATTTCCTATATGAAATAACTGATGCTAGATCTGTGGCTCAGGGGAACATCCCTTGCTTAGCATGTGAAAAGTCTTGAGTTCAAAGCCCAGAAAAATAAATGGATGAGGAATGAATAAGATACCTGGATAAATAGAATCATATGTTAGGAATTGTTTAAAACTATTTCTCAGTAGTAGAGGTGGAAAATAAAAAATAATAATAAGATTGGCTGTATGTTTGTAACTTCTTAAGATGAGGATGAATACATGGAATTTCATTATACTATTCTTTCCAGTTTCATCTATGTTGACAGTTTTCCACAATAAAGAGACTTTTTACTGGAAAGAAAACTGCAACACATATATTATATGTATATATGTGTATAAAATATTATTATATGGTTTATGTGTTCTAATAAACTATAAGCTATTCTTCTTAAATCTTTTTTATAATTTCTTTTTTAATATCTGTTAATTTCTCTTAGCCCCATTTTATAATCATTCATTACAATCATAAGTAATGGGATATCAAAATCTATACAAAAGAAAATGTTTAAAAGAAAAAATATATCTACACTCTCAATTTTTCTCTATAAAATAACTATTCTTTTGTCTGATAATTGAAATACACTATGTTTTGTGCTTTGCCGGACAATAAACTGTAATTGGCACAAACTGATGCTATTTTCTGAAGTCAACTGAAAGTAACGAAGAACAAGCAGGGCAGTGGTGGCGCACACCTTTTTTTTTTTTTTTTTTTTTTTTTTTAGTTTTTCCGAGACAGGGTTTCTCTGCGTAGCTTTGCACCTTTCCTGGATCTCGCTCAGCAGACCAGGCTGGCCTTGAACTCACAGAGATCCACCTGGCTCTGCCTCCCGAGTGCTGGGATTAAAGGCGTGCGCCACCACCGCCCGGCTGGTGGCGCACACCTTTAATCCCAGTTCTCAGAAGGCAGAGGCAGGTGAACTTCTGAATTTAAGGCCAGCCTGTTTACAGAGCAGTAATGTCTCAAAGCAGTGGCTCATGTTCCTGGTTGGTTGGTTTGAAACAGGGTTATGGTATGTAGTCTTCGTTGGTCTCAAAACCATGACATCGATCAGGCTGGTCTCAAATAAACAGGCCATCCTCCTCCTTGTGGCTAAGTGCTGAGATCAGACATGTATCATCTGTTCCTGCTTCTTGAAGACTGTTTTTTAGAAATAGAAGAAAATTGGTCTGGACCTGTGTGGTAGTTGGGTTATCTGGCCTGATAGAGGGACGCTTCTTGTCAGCCTATAAATTGTTATGGATAATGGTCAGGAAAAAAACTAAACAAAGGAGATTAGATTCAGGATTTTTGTTTTGGAAAAAAAAAACGGGGGGAGGGGAATGCTGTGGGCTAATGCTCTTGTACACTGTAAAGATTTATCACTCCTATTGGTTTAATAAAACACTGACTGGCCAGTAGCCAGGAAGGAAGTGTAGGTGGGCAACCAGACTAGGAGAAGGCTGGGAAGAGGAAAAGCAGAGACGGAGTTGCCAGCCAGACACAGAGGAAGTAAGATGAGAATGTTGGACTGACAAAAGGTACCAAGCCACATGGCTAAACATAGACAAGAATTACAGGTTAACTTAAGCGTAAGAGCTAGTTAGTTATAAGTCTGAGCAATAGGCCAAACAGTTTATAATTAATATGAGCCTCTGTGTGTTTATTTGGGACTGAACGGCTGTAGGACCAGGCAGGACAGAAACTTCCATCTACAGGCATGTTTTCTTTCTCAGTGTTGTGGGGACTAAGGCACACTTCACAGTTGTTAACCTCTTGTGCTATCCCAGTATGCTTTGTCTTCTCTCCTTATCCTCTCTTCTCCTTCACTTTCTTGACCCCTAGACTGCTTCATACCCACCTATGTTAAAGACCTGGCTACCACAAAATGCATCATTTCCCATTGCCTTTGGCACTCAGTGACTTTCCTGAAACCTTAACACATGCTGCTACTACTGTTTCTCAAATCTATGCTTGCAGTTTCCTTGAAGGCAGAACAATCTTTGAACACATAGACAGGAAACACGTTTGGTAATGTCTGTTGTTATATGCATCCAAATAACCTATATTCTTTCTTTTTGATTGCTGTCATTTGAGGTTTGGTGGGGTTATTTGGGTTTTTTGTTTTGAGAATTTCATATATGAGTATTGTATTTACATTGTTTCTATCCATCTTTCCTCTCCAATTCCCCTCATATTCCTTCCCCTATTCCCTCTCAAATTCATGACCTCTTCTTCAACTGTTACATACATATGTATATACGTATATGTGTATATATATATGTATAAATATATGTATACACACACAAACACACATACACACAAACACAGGTATATACAAATAGAATCTGCTAGGTCCATTTAGTATCACTCATATTCTATATGTGTTTAGGGCTAATCAATTGGGATTGGATAACCTCTTAGGGGACTCTTTCCTGGGAAAGACTGGTTCTTCCTCTCTTAGTAACCATTAATTGCCTGTAGATCTTCATCTAGGGGTGTGCCTTGTGAGATATCCCCTGTTCATGCCAGAATCTCAACTGGTGTTGTCACTGTGCAGGTCTTGTATAAAGATTTCATCGGTGCAGCTCCCTGTCATATATAGAAGACACTATCTGAAAACAGACTTCCTGTTTTGAGTGGAATTTTTCAAAAACACTTTCTATATTCTTCTTTTCTTTAATCAAGGCCAACCCTGACTACAGATAGACATCTTATTTTAAAAAACGTCACATACAAGTAATGCAGTTTGCAATGCATAGAATACATGAAAGTCTGCATTCTGACAGCTGGCTCCTTTTCCTGCAAGCTATCTTTCACTAATGAGTACCACTTCTTGAAAGGCTACATGCAACACATACTACACCATGTCTAGAGTGTCAGCCACTGTAACAGACTAGAACTTCATTCCCTCCAAAGGGAAAAAACAAAAAATATTATAGTAATGGTTTGCTGGGCAATGTACTTGGTTGTTGTAAAGAACTGCCTGCTCTTTATTTGCCAATGTTTTAGTCTAAAGATTAAAGTTTTAAGGCACATATACCACTGACCTTCTTTGGGATATTAAATCTAAATATCAAAATGTGTTTTCCCCAACATAACAGGGCACATATTTATTTATAAAAGCTGTTTTGTGGGTCTAACATTATTGACAATATTTATGCATTCCTATAATAGTGTAGAACACTTGAGTTTAGAAGGCAATCTGATCACAGCACTACTATACATTTGTCTGAAAAGGATAAAGGGTTTTAACGTAATCACTATGCCTTCTGGCACCTTAGTTTTCAAAATGCTACCACAGCACCCTCTGGTGTTGCTTCTGATTTTCCATGTCCTAGATGCCATTTTCACTGAGAGAAACAAATTGGGAAGAACAGCAATTTCTATTGATATCAAAGCTATCATTTTAAAGTGTCCCTTCCTATGAATTACCTAATGTGATTCTCAAAACTTTCTGTTCTAAGGCCCCTGAAGGTAGGGCCATATTCCTAACCTGAGTGCTTTATAGAGCAGCTTCCAGCCATACATCCCGTAGAGTGGGCAAGGCAGACTTTATTGTCTCCTGCGAGGGAATCTGTTACAAGAACACACACACTACTTTTCCAACTGGCTTATGAAGATGATTTCTCTGCAAGCTAAACATTCTTTGTTGGTTTTAGTTTGGTGATGATGGATGTTTGGTTGGTTTTTGGTTTATTTTGCATTGTTTGAGAGATACTGTCTCAAACATAGACCAGGCTACTCAGAGAGACCCACCTGCCTCTGCCTCCTGGTGCTACAATTAAAGGCATGTGTTGCCACACCCAGCCAAGGTAAACATTTTCTTGAGGATGGATAGGGAAACATGGAATGTTCTTGTTCTTGAGTGATACTTGCTGAAGAAGATAGAGGTGATTTCACAAGATTTGGGAGTTCAGAAAGAGGCAGAAAGTAAATGTGGCCCAAGTATCCATTGGTACACTTAAGTGACAGACCTAGAGATGTTCATTCTCTTCTTTTTCAAATTATGAAACATTTCAAAATAAAAAAAAACTGGTGAAGACATTTTGAAGATAAGAATTTTGAGGATTAAAAACTTGAGTGAAGATGCAAACATAATGAAGAAATCGCCTTTAAAAACATGCCTCTCCACAAAATCAACAGCCTTGATTAATTAATTAATATCTAGCAGGCCAATTTCCCCCTTGTGGTAGAAGCTAAGAAGCACAGCAGAGGATGCCCAGGGCCTTTGTCAGTGAAAAGGCCGGCACACTTTTCCTTCCACTACATCCTCTAACACACTAGTGAATTCTGTCTGTATTTCTGCGTTATTCTGTTGCTCTCTCACTACTGGCAGATATTGGGCTCTGTAAAATGCCCAAATGTGTCCTTTCTAAAGTGCTACTAAGCCAGGTTGCTCTCATTCCAGACCATAAAGCCAAGGACAGATCATTTCTGTCACTGAAGTTTCAAGGTCTGTTTTAGAAGGAAACTATAAACAAGACACTTAGCAATATAGAAGGAAAACTGTACCTCCTTCTCTTATTGCTGTTAAATTAAAAGTGATCCGTCTTGTGTAGCTATTTCTTCAGGGCCTATCATGACCATTGCTGTTCATAAAGCCAAGACCACTGTGTGACTTACAGAAAACCTTGGCCCCATAGTCATGGCAACAAAATCAGCAAGACACTCCAGAGATAGATAGGAGTGTATCAATTATACAGAGAAGAAGGAAGTCACTAGACCCTTACCTGAGATTCCACCTGCCACTCCTTCCTGCCTCCCAGCTGCATGTGGTCCTGGGAGATGCTGAAGTAGAGAGGAAGTGGGAGACTGACTG